TATTGCGGAAGGCATGGATGAACGTCTGGATGATGGAGTGGACGGTAGGAGAAACGAACTGAGGTGGAACAACAGTCTGTAGCATCTGTAGGACAGCGGTAGAAAGAAATTTCGCGAGCGTGGCACACCACGTGTTGGAATAGCTGACAATCGGGCGACCCTTCAGGAATTGTTTGGAGGGCTTGGGGAGCACGTAGGCGTACGGCAAAGCTGCTTTGGGTGCCAGGGCCCAATGATAACGTGTGGGAACATGTCGTTTGATGGCTCGTTGTATATGTTCCGATAGCTGCATCGGGTTGGTGTCTCGTCGCCAGAAGACTGCAGGATCCAAGAAAGTCTTGGTCAGGATGTCGAAGTATTGTTGAGGACAAAATGCATAAGCCAAATGCGGTCCATGATCAATAGGGGAGATCACGATGTGCTCTGAGCTTTCCCGTAAGTTCTTGAGTTCGCGTAACTGTCTGCCGTCAGGACGCATCCGTAGAGTTTGGCTGTGGAGTTGCCATTGGTGTGAGACAAAGACTTGCCAGCGAAGTAAAGATTGGTCGGGTTGTCGCCACAACTTGAACCATCGGTTCAAAGGGGCCACCGTAAACCTGCGAAATTGAGATTTGGTCAACCATCGGCCGTCGCTCATGTTTTCCCGAAAGATGGATTCGTTCAGAACGACATCGGCTGGGGCTGCGACATGGTCCGAGGGTGTGCGTTGTCCTGGTAGTTGTTGACAACAGCACAAGAAGGGTTTCTCTGGGTCCCACAGTCGTAGCCATGCGTGGTGATTGAACAAGGTTTGACCAAGCGTAGGGGCCTTCTTCTCGGTAATGGTGTATCGTGGTAGATGGTAAGGTGGGAACCATTCTCGGTGATGAAGTATGTAGCTGTCCAACCAATGTTGAGCTTGTCGTAAAAAGTCATGAGCCAATTGAGGGAGAGGAAGTAATCGGTGACGAGGCGGGATATCTCCTCCTTTGTAGCGAAGGGCTAGACGTAAAGCTTGTAGGGCACGTGTTTGATGTGGTTCATCCACGAAGACAAGGAAGCGAACGAGTAAGTAAAGATAGGCGATCGGAGTGCCATTCCGACGTAGAACTCGTTGTGAGAAAAACTTGAGAACGCCATTGCTGCCGACATATTGTATGATTGTGGCCAGGGTCTCCCGTTGCTCGATGAGGGAGCGAGTGCCAAGGAGTTCCGGTAGATCCCGGTAGTGTGTGTAGCGATGATGAGCGCGTAAGAGACGAGCACCGTTGCCACCCTCCAAGAAGGTGGTGACCATGGGTGCTTCCAGCTGTACTCCCAATTTCCGTAGGAACGTGTAGACGAAAGGGGCATTCAAGTGTGGATGATATGTGGCAATTAGAGCTTGTTCCAAGGCGCGGACTTGTTCTTCAGTAGGTCGGTGCTGTAAAGTAATAGGTAGGTGATGGTCGTAGGTACCGGCAGCGTGCCAAATGCGTAAGGCAGGCTCGAAGAACGCTTGAGTGCCGGAACAAAGTTGATTGTATTTGGATCGGCGGCTAACTTCCCGGTCAATGATCGTGTGGATGGTGGAGCCGATGTACCATCCGGGGTGTTTGTGGGAGACTTTGATGTAGACGACGTTGGACTGTAAATGATGTCGTAGAGTGTACGGCTGTACGTCCAAATTGAAGAATAAATCCTGGAGACCGCGATGGTTGGTAGTAGTGGCGAACCGTAGGCGATGAAGTTGTAGGAACCACAGAGCGCGTACCCAGGAGAGACGTCCAAAGACATGATGTGGAAGAACTTGTCGTATAATCGGCAATGCCGCAATGTAAAAGTCTAGGAAAGATGTAAGAAGTCGGTGTGGATGAGGTGGTAGGCGGTGACGTACTGGGGTTCGCGGAGATAATTGTGGAGCGTCGTTCTCGTCGTCTCCCAAATCTTCTGCAAAAAGGTGGTCAAAGCTGAAGATCTCCAGGCAGAAGAGGAGTCGGAGAGCGGACGTTTGTAAGGTGTGCGCAACCTGAACGCGTGTCAGTGCGTATCTGCTGACCAACCACTCATGGATGCGCGAGTCAGAAATCGAAGGCAAAGTTTGTCGTAATGCCGATGTCAATCCATCAATCTTGAGGTCCGAGTCTTTAGTCCAGCCGGTTGGTGTGGTAAGGGACGTCCTGGTCGAGGAAGGTAGACCTGTGGAGGAAGATGTCGGAGTCCAAGGTGGCTGGGACGTGTCACATGAGGGAGGACAGGTATAATGTACTCGAGGTGGAGACGGCCTGTGTGTGGGATCTGGACGGTGAGAAAAATAGCATCGAGAGGGGGTGGTGGAATCCATAAGGTTGAAGATGTAGACGGAGTTGTGGATGTCCTGGTCGTAGAACGTCGCAAAGATGAGGTCGGGGTTGCTCGGAGTGGTAGACCGTCGGATGTCTGTGATCTTCTCGGATGATTGAAACCCATGACTGGCCGGGATGTTGAAGAGGTAGAGGATGATGAGGAAGGGAAGAGTTCATGTCGTAGGTGGCGGGCAACGTCATCATCACGTAGTGCAGAAAATTGTGCTGGTGACAATGAAGAACCTTCTGTCAATTGTCGAATGACCTCGTTGACAAGTAGTAAAGCATCGGTGGACTCGAAAGAAAGCGGGTACACCGACTGGCCATTGGCAAAGCGGCGATACAGTGGGTGAAGTGGGCCCTGATGTAGAAAATCAATGAGTCGAGCTTGTCTGGTCTGAGCTTGTCTGTTGCCTCGTGCTCGTGCATGAGGAGGGCATTCCGCACGTACAGAATGGTGTCGACGTGGAGTGCGAGACCGGCGCCGCTCATGGACCATGGGCATAGGTGGGGGGCATGAAGCGTCCCGAATATAAACGGCTGCGGACGAAAGGGAAGGGGCAAGCAAGGGCAACGAAGGATGGCAAGGTCGGACGGTTTTCCGACGGCAGGGCGGTATGGAGTGAATCAAGAGAGGTGCTGAAAACGTACGCGACGAACTGGTAGGGCAGCTCGTAGTCGTCGTAGTATCGAGATAGATGTTTCCACGCCTTCCTCGTCGTCCCAGTAGAAAAGTTTGCACGGAGCGCCTTGCCGTAGAGCAGCTTGTGGGATGCGGGCGAGGTGTAATTGCAAATGTTCGGTGGCATCGAGGCAATCACGTAGAACGTGGCACCATTCCGAACAAACAGCTGCTGTTGTCTGACAAATGAATAGACTCACATGTTGTAGGGAGACGCGAAAGACTGCTTCGTGGTATCCGTGTCGAATCAATCTCGGTGTGCAGCATTGAAGCCGGCCCTTCGCATAGAGTTGGTGATCAGAGCACACGACCTGGTCACCCACAAAGGCAAGTTGTCATGTGATTCTGGGGAGTCGTCAGCATCGTCGTGCAACTCCAAGATCACATCGATGTACTGCAGGTACGAGGTGATGTGCGCGAGCGAGGCAATGGGGAAGGGAACACTCATGATGATGATCGAAACGGCTGCGGCATGTATTCAATAGAGAACAAGGAACACATCACAAAGGGCGGCAGCAACCTGTTTTGCCGTCAACGTCTCCAATCGGTGTGGTACCAGGAGGTAGTTCAATGGCCGGTTGCCAGGTCGTTCGACGGGCTTCAAGTAGACTGCCACAAGCGGGTTCTTCTCGGAGGATTTCAGCGTCCTTGACGGTGGCAATCGCAGTGGTGCTCCTCATGTAGGAGAGGTGTCGGTCGCCCTGGAGTAACTGAAAGTGCGATGGGTGCAGGTAACGACCATGGCGTTGATGAAGCAGCTGCGAAAGTCGTTGTTTCACATGGTCAATGAGCATGTCGCTCCACACATGAAAGTCAAACCACTCCGCATGTCCACCGTCATCGGGTAGATCACAGCAAAGGAACCAGGCTGGAATCAGAACACGCAGACGTATTAGGTTAGGTGGAGTGGGTAGTCCGGCGACAGCGGCTGATCGTTTCATAGAGCTCGGCGTGAAGAAGGGCGCGGCCGTATAGTAAACCAATGGGAGAAACGGCTGCGGGATCCATAAATCAGAGAAAAGGATTGCACATGAAAACAATGGGGCATCGGGCATAGGATCTTTTCCGTGCGGGCAGTCAAGAAGAGTGTATGAAGACCGGAATGCGGAGCACGGCGTCATGGATCCACATCGTTGGCGGAGGCTGCGGTGAAGAACACGCGGCGGTGGTAATGGAGACATTGTCCCAACAACAGGTAGGAGCGGGCGCGTAGACACCGTAGCTGTGTTTGCAACAACTCAAGAGCCTCCCAGGTGTGAATTTCATGAGGGATCATCAATGTCAGAACCGCATCTGAAAACCGGACCACGTCAGCGTAGGTGGTGCCGATGGGTAGGATGCGTGGAGGCAGAAACGGTCCGCGCATACGGGGAGTAGGTTCACCTGGTAGTAGTTGAGCGGGTCGAGGTTGATGAACGTCCCGAGTAATGAAGTGGGTAATGTTGCGCCCGTGCAAGAAGTGAATGACTTCATAGTTCATATTGCGGTTGACCCGGAGGAGCTGCGTGGTGAGATACAAGTCGAGTATAATCTCGAACAACCCATGGTAAGAATTATCCGCGATCTGGACGACCTCATAGTACATGTTACAGGCCTCCGTCATCACCTCGTGCATAATCTGGTGGATGTGCGGTCGCGGTGAGGTCGAGGAGAACGGAACCAACCAGCCTCGCATCACAATGAAAGGAGAAAGCCAAAAATTGACCGGGACGTCGGTGAAGATGGAAATCGTACGGTTCTCTCCAGAGGATAATGAGACATAGGTGGTCGAGGGGGTCGGTGTAGTGCGATCCCTGCGAGATTCTCGAGCAGCTGCGACCCATTCGCGGTATTCAGAGGTAGTAGGAAGGTCCACCAGCGCCTCCGGTGCCAAGTTCGCCATGGTGTGACGAGCAAGTGGATGAAGGGTAAGCCAATTAGCTGAAACGGCTGCGGGTAGAGGACAACGGATAATACCTCAGAGGGTGTGAAGTCAGTGATGGCAAGGACAAGTGAGGAGTCTTTATATCCCACGATCATCCGCTCCAGGAGGTGTCCTGAAGATGTCTGCTCTGCAGGGCGGTGCCGAAGGCATGGAGTCGTAATCGGAATAGACGACTGCGGGGGACCTCCGTGCAATCGAACTCAGTCAAATAGGAGGGAATGCCCAGGCGGTATGTCAATGAGGAGAACCGCACAATGCTGGAGAACTCTGAGCCAAGTGGAAGACGCCGACGAAGAAGATCTGGAGGTTCAGAACGATCCGCGGGTAGGAGGGCAACTGTGGTCATGGAGCGAGCGAGAAGGTAGATGGCGAGTGCATCATTCAGATGGCGGTTGGTGGCCGAAAGTGCCGAAATGACGCCGATGTCGAAGGTAAGAACAAATAGGCCATGATAATAGTTGTCCCCAACGCGGAAGAACCCGTAGAAGAGGTTCGTGTGACGGTCAATGAGCTCTGCAAGACGGTCACGGATCATGATGTCATCGGGATGTCGTGTGGTTTGCCGAATAGAATTGCCTGGACTGCCATCAATAGGAGGGTGAGTCGCGGCCACGGCGTACGCGAACAAGTTCTGGTGGTAGTCCAAGAGCTGATGCAAAAATCCGCAAGGAAATGTGGAAAGCTGGAGCGGCATGGTGTTAATATCAAAACCCTTAAGGGAACGGCTTCGGAAAGTGTAAACATGTGAATCAACGTCCAGGCAGGCGTGCAACGCTGCAGACTGTTTCCGTTCGACTGCAGCCACCCCCGCGATGGTAGCAGTTGATGCGATGTGCCATCTGAAAGACAGTGAGGACGATCACGTTCATGTGCTGGGAGCAGTAGCAGGAACCGCAGCTGGCTGGAAGGCGGAGAGGACCGCCGTCATCGCTAAGAGCTTCTGTTGGTTGACTTCAGACAACTTGGAAGCCAAACTGACGGTCAGTCCCCAATCTACAAGGGTTTTGTCCAAGGGTGGTAGGACGCCCGAGGTGGCCTCTTTCAAGATGCCCTGCAACTCGGTGAGCTTCGGTGTGTAGGATTCGCGATGGAGCTTGATGAGACCGTCGAGCCATTTCTTCACATCGGCGGTAGAGGCGGATTTGGGGGAGTTGGAAGCGAGGACAGCGCGGCGATCGAGTCGTTCGAACTTGGAAAAGGAGTCCCGGAGTCTGGTGGCGGCATCTGGTGGAGGGTTCGGTTCTGCAAGTGGATGAGGTAGGGTCTCAGCGCCCGTGCCAGCGGCAAGCATCCTGAGCTGGTCGTTGTCCTGCTGCAATCGTTGAATTTGTTCCAGAAGTCCAGGTCGTCCTCCGGCTGCACCTTCTCCGTGGGGTAGTAGATCATTAATCGTCGCAGCAACCTTGTCCGCCACGTGTTGCAAGAGCTGAGGACTGTGTGGTTGTCATGTAGTTGTTTAAGGACATCAGAGATGTCGTATTGGTCCGAGGACTTGCGGAGCGTCCGAATAATGAATGACGCCAAAAGCGCTTCCTGCCGCGTCCTGAAAATTTCAATCACCAGAGGGCGGCCAGCCGCCAGCAGGCGGACGATCCATGCTTGCCCCGCATTCGGGGTAAGCGACACAATAGGGACGAGATGAATAGGCATTTCGGCGATGCCGAGACGCCGGGTAAAGGCAGTGTCTACGACATTGCGCGGTAAAGGGAAACCGCGGTCTGGGTTCGCGTCAAGGAAGAGGTCGGTGGTTTCCCAGTTGGCGCCGAGCGAATAGATGTCTTCGTAGCGTTCCTGAAGTAGGCGATGATCCCGAGCGGAAGGAGGATCGCGACGATCACGGCGAGGTTCACGTCGAGCTGGAGGTGCACCGGAGGAAGAATAGTGGGATGGATCATCATGAGGTGGAGGAGTGGAGTGCACCCGGCTGTCAGAGTGTGGTGCCCGTCGGTCAGAGTCGGAAGGAAGAGGATGTCGTCGAGACGATGGTCGTGGTGAAGAATAGTGTAGCCGACGTCGTGGGGGAGAATCAGCATCAGGATCTCGATGTCGATGTTGTCTGATCGAAGGGCCACGATTGCGGTGGCGGTGATGTTCCGGCGTGTTGGACACCGGAGTGCGGCTGCGATGTCGTCGGGACCGAGGAGGAGACGTCCGGCTGTATGCGCGATTGTCCCGGAAGGACCCCGACCTAGGAGGTTGCGTCGTCATGTTCCGCTGGGACGAATAGGGGTCATGTCGAGAAGGTTCATCACGTCCATGTAGACGATGGCGTCGGGAAGGTGGAGTGCGAGAACGGTGTGGAGGCATAAGGAGGAGGAAGAATGGGAGGAGGCGTGAGGAAGCAGGCGAAAGGAGCCAAAATAAAACGGCTGCGGGAAGTGAGCTTGCTTAGGAACTGCTGCAGTAGCAAATAGTCCTCTTTGTCCAGGTCCTGGGCGCGCATCATGAGAAACGTCCGAGCCGGATCAGAGGTAACTCCTGGTAGCTGGAGGGAATGAAGACCCAATGCTGAAGTCCACGGTGTAACGCCATGCCACGGACTTGTTGTGGACAAAACGGATGGAAGATGGACAGGCACGGTCGAGAAGAATGTGACCGTGGAAGATCGGGGGTGCGTTCCACGTAGAAGGCATATTGAAGTCCACGATCACGAAGAAGGGCTCGTACGGCGTAATATGTTCGCGAGCAGGTCATCATCAAAGAAGCAACGAGACGGGGATGAAATGTGATCTCGGCGAGGGCATAGTGAAGGTGATAGTCGCGTTCCGTCCGGAACGCAAGGGCCTGGCCATGTAGTTCAGCAATAGGAAAGAGGCACCTTAACGTGGAGTCCGGAGCAGGTGTACGGGCAGAGGCAGTGTCCATCATCGAGTCCGGAGGGACGAGAGCTGTACGTAGACGAAGTTCCAAGAGTGGTAAGAACACCCGGAAGAGAATGAAAGGATCAGTTAATACGTCCAAGTACTCCAGAACAGTTGCCGAAGTGGATGACGACAATGTCGAGCAGGAAGAGGAGGCAGAGGATGAAAAGGGAGCAGAGCGTCGGAAAGACATGTGTGGTACCAGGGAAGCGCAAGACTGTGGAGTGATGTAGGAAATGGCTGCGGGACATCCAAAGAAACAAGGAGGAGCAGAGTCAGCGGGGGCGCATGTTTTGTTCAGGCCCGAGCGACGGAGTAGAGAGTCAAGGGCGGCCGCTGCTGGTCTCCGCTCAGATCCCGTCGGTGCCGATCGCGGTCTCGATCGCGATGGGGAACATCACGCGCACCTCGAGAGCGGTCAGGATCCTCACGTTCATCACGGTCTCGGTCAGCACGATCGCGGCGGCGACGCCGACTGCGGGATCGGCCAGTTGTCGCCGTTGTGGTCCGCGGAGGTGGAACTTGCGGTCGGGCTTTGACCGGCACGTAAGTGACAGTACCGTCAGCATCGACCTTAGGTGCAAGAGGGCGTCCAGAGTGCTTGGAGACGGCGGGGGGTGGAGCTGTGTGGCCGATCGGGTTGGCATCAGAATATCCCGAGGTTGATGGCATCGGAGGAGAAGAAGGGCCAGCAGGTAGTGGGTCAGGAGGAGGTGGCGATACTGAGCGACGTCGCCGGCGATGACGATCCCGATCGCGGTCTGCAGCGCGAGAACGGTCTCCATCTCGAGGATAGTCGCGGTCTCGTCTGCGGAGTCGTGGTAGGGTCTGGCGCTGGGAGGGATCCAAATGAGAAGGAATCGGTGGTGGTCCCATGGGGGCCGGAGGGGCCACACTGCTGTCTGGAAGTGCTGGAGGTCCAGGAGAGTCGTAGGCGGCTTGACCAGAACAAGGGCCTGGGTCACTGGAGGTGAGCAGCGCCGTGGCAGGTGGGGGAGCATCCGGAGGTGGTGGAGTAGTTGTCGTAGCCACCGGTGTCACAGGGGTCAACGTCGATCGATTCTGATGGGCTCGTAGTAATACATCACGTACTTGGAGCAGTTGGTGGTCGGACAACGACTCGAAAAACACCAAGAACAACTGCAAATATTCAGGAGTGAAGGCGGAGGAGGCCATGATGTGCTAGCAAGGTCACACTTAGTTCAGCAAAACGGCTGCGGGATGAAGAAGAATAAGGCGGTAACAACAAAGAGACCAGCCATGCCATATCGCAAATCACGCACACCTTTTGTGGGTCCTCTCACATGAACACGGCGATGCCTTCTGGTTGTGCGAGCGTGGAGTGCACACCCCAACGGTTGTCGTTGCCGTGCAGGATGGAGACGAAGTAGTTCGCCGCGTTTTCGGGGACGGTGCCTCCACTGTCGCTCTTCAGGTGATAGGCCGCGGGAGTGTTGGGGAGCACTGAAGACGGTGTGTCGGTAGGCGCGGCATTGGCCATGTCGAGATAGCAAATGGGAATTCGGCCATATACACAAAACGGACGGGGAGAACCCCATCCCCCAAACTTGGCTGCAGCTCGTAAGGCTCCGCTGAGACTGTGGACGGAAGCGCGAGAGTAAAAAGCAGGACTAGGCAGCCAAGAAGCGTCAACGGGGTCGTAGTTGCTGGGGCGAATGCATCCTTCTTTCAGGATGCCAAAGGCGGCCTGAAGGTCCGTGTTATGGCCGAAATAGGCGACTGCAGGTGCCCCGCTAACACGTACCGCTGCTGCGGGGAAGGGGAGCGAAACCATGAGCATTGGTCGGCCAGCTTTGTCTGGTTGATGTTGGGGAGCCTCGACATGTGTGAACTTGAACTGAACACTGTGAGGATGGTATCCCGCATGTACCAGCAGATGCATCACTGTGAGTATCGGATCGGCTAGAGTAAAAGGCACATCAAGTTTGCGTCCCTCCAAGAGCAACTCCTGTTGACATTGTCGACGATGAGGGAGTGCTTTGAAGTAGGACCTGTATTGCAGCAATGCAGTATATACTCGATCCCAGTGTACCGCCTTGAGGGAGCCCAGTCGGGTGGAGTAATCGGATTGCAGGTAGGTATCAAGCTGGCCTGCCGCGGCCAAACACTGGCGTAAGGTTGCCAGCGTGCAAGCAGAGCTGAAAGGAGCTGGTGAAGTCGAAGATGCTGTAGGTGGCGAGGTCGAAGATGCCGTAGGGGTAGAAGACGGGTCCGGCGGCGAGGTAGAGGCATAGGCAGCGGGCACGGACTGGTCGTTGTTGGAGGAAGACGGCGGTGAGCCAGCGGGAGGTAAACCAGGCCAAAACGGGCTCGGAGGAAGAGGAGAAAGATCAGGGAGAGTGCTTGGAGCCGCCATATCAATAGGTCGTGGAGGCTGTAAAGGGGCAGCGATTCGGCCAGTCAACGTGGAACGTTGAGGTGCGGCAGTCCGGGTCGTAGGTGCCGCCGGCGTTGACGAGGAAGAAGAAGTGGAAGACGATGAAGACGCGGACCTCGGGCGTCGCCGAGATCGTGATCGAGAGGGTGCGGTCGGCCAGAGTCCAGGTGCACAGGATGGACGGGGACAAGGAGGCATGGCGAATGCAGACAAGCAATGCACAGCCTACAACAACAACTACTACAGGGAAAAATCACTAGAACGTTACGGTCAAAACGCATCCTGCCTGAGTCCTTGGGTATGAGTGCTTGAAGCCGCTTGAGCTGCAATCGCGTGTTGGTAGGCATGGAGCCGAATTTGTGGGTGCCATGAGAGGCGGTTAGGCCGTGTGGCTTCACTGTTCTCTCCATTGAACTGGTCTAAGCGCTGACACTGAATTTGGCGCCTCCGAACTTGGAGGATCTGAGTGCAGCACCGAGGCATACACCACCGTCCCGGAGGACTACACACTGAATGCTAAGAGAGGTTTCTGTATGCGTAGGACCACCTGATGCCCAGGTCTCGGGCGACCATGCACCAGCAACTTTGAACACGTATCTTCATGCGCAGTAAGGTCGAAGCTGAACGGCTCAAAGTGTGCCACCTAGACCTGCAAACCTGACTAAACCACAACGGGCCGAAACCTCTATCCCCGCGCGAGCAAGCACTGCAAGTACTGTATGCCAGGATGTCACGCAAGCACTGACGGAGTTCAGAATGGGGTTCTTGGCTTGGCCCCAGGCCATCCAGAAGATTTCATCACGAATAAAGTATAACCAATGCACAGCGAGAATGCTAGATACCAAATACGTTCGTTGTGCAGGTACACGGAGTTGATCAGACTCCGCTTCCCCCATGGTGGATAGCTTCGTTGGCACAGGTACCACCATGGGCCTGTGCCCCCTGCTGTGTAATCTGCACTCAAGTTCAGTTATATGTACATCGTAAATAGGAAATGGCTGCAGAGCGTGAGGGGAAGGCCCTTGGATACAGGGTTGTCACACACACACGTACGCATATTATGTATCCAAACACAATTATATCTAATCGTATCTATAAATACACAAGCATACAGGTGGTCTTTCTGAACATATTAACCAGCGTATTTGTATCGGCGCTCATGTGGTAGCGACTGGGGCACAGACGGCGGAAGTACTGCAATGTACAATGTTTTTACTAAGTGCCCACATTGCCAGTGAATACTTTGATATGACGAATAAGTAATGCTGTCGGTTTGCAGTTGCAGGAAGGGGGGCTGCAGACATGTATAGCGGATAATTCCCGGATAATGCATCAATCGGCACAAGCTAGCAGGAGAAAGAGTGAGCGGCAAGTACAAAGCGTTGGCCATGGTGGCAACGTCTTTCTTTGTCAAGGTTAGGTGTGGTAGCAGTAGCATTGTCGACAGCCGCCAGTCTGCGTGGCTTCACAGGCGGAGGATGCGGACGCTTACTTGGACCTGGTTCATGCCGAGGGAGCACTTCTCCAAGGACTGATACTTTGGCTGCTAGGGTCAGAGAATCGGGGGCTTGCAGCCAATGCTACAAGGGCATCATATGGCTACCATAAAGGTACCATAGAGTACAGTACGACGAGGCTGCGGTAAGACCCTTCCCTCTTGATTGGGGCTTAATGCCTTGGTGTTTAAGCCGAGTCATGGTGCAGGATCCAACCCTGAACCCTCGACCGAACCAGGACTTTTGAAGCCCTGCAGTTTCGGCTTTCGGCTGACTTGATCTTTGCTGTAAACCCCTACAGGGAACTCCAGAAAGTTGGAATATGGTTTCATGGTAGGATACAGTATAATATAACTTACCATAGAAGGGTTAGGATAATCATATTCCAACTTTCTGGCTTTTACCTTATAGGAACCCTTACAATACCCCTCCCCCCTCCCTCAAATATGAAAAGCCAGGGAGCCCTCACGGCCACCATCCTTAAACCCTAGGGCTCCTCATTTCTCCGAAGGTGTCGCCGAGACCGAGGAGGAGAGACGAGTGCCAGATGAGGACCCGGGGTCATGGTTTGTAGGTTTGGGGTTTAAGGGTTTCGGGTAGTTTATGGTTCAGGGTTTAGGGATGTTTAGGGTCTAGGCTGGGGATCGCCCGAAGAAGTCCGTTAAGAGAGCCTTGTTTGCCCCTTCACACCTCACGTGCCCTCTAATGCAGGGCTCCCTAAACCCTAGCCCTAGAGTGGACCTACACCTAGACCCTAAACCCTAAATTTGTGAGGCCGAGACTCCTATAAGGAGGGCCTCGACCAAACCCCAAACCCGTTTCAGGCCAGAGGCAAAAGAACCCTCGTAAACCCTAAGTCTCCAATTAACCCAAAACCATCCTAAACCCTAAACCCTAGAAGCCCTAATAAACCCTAAACCCCTATATAAATCTGAAGCCAAGCGTTCCATCAACAACATCTTCCAGGAGGAACCCAAGGCTCGCTTAGGCACGGCGCTGGGGGGTTGAGGGTTGCAGGGCTTTGGCGGTGCAGGGTTTTAGGTCGCAGGGAAGATGGGGGATGCAGGCCAGGGCAGTTTCAGATCTGCATCTCCGGGACATAGCGTGGAAGGATCAGTGCTTGCTTGGAGGCCCAAGGGACTTAGTAAGTAGGTTATAAGTGGGGTTATCATTGAGGTAACTCCATTTAGGGTACTTATAACTTATAAGCCTACTTATAATCTACTTACTAAGTCCCCTAACCCTCCAAGTGGGGTGCTGCAAGCTTGTGGTTACCCAGGTTGTACGGGTTTCTAGGAT